GTGGATGGAGAGGAGTCAGGGAAGGCGTTTCTGTGAGGACTAAACCTTTCTGTAGAAGGAAGTGGAAAAACCAGCACTGTGATCATGAACAACTCAAACACCACCACTGTGCTACGACTCAGACCTCGCCCAGGAGAAGCAGTAACAAAACACCACAAACACAGATCCACACTGCCGGACGGTCACAGCTGAACAGCGGCCTGCTCACTACCGACTGTGACTGCTATAACCCTCAGGTTCACAGAACCTTTTCTAACTCATTCTTTACTCTATCTTCTTCCCTCACGTTAATAATTTCAAAAACTATTTAAAGAAGGAAATAAGCTAAGCTCCATTTTTTAAGGAGTAAAAAGCTGTTAAAAGCAGCAGAAACAATCGCTTCAAATTTCCCCTTCAAGTTTGCAGAGGACAGTGAGTATAAAGGATCATTTGATTAGAAATAAGGCACGCTGCAAAGCATTGTATTCTCCGTGTCTACACCAGGCAAGTAGAAACAGCACCCGGACCCTCAGCTCCAGTGCCCCGTGGGCCTCTCCTTCCCAGGTGCCACGGCCCGGCAGGTGACAGAGCTGACACGCCAGAGCACGCATGTGCGTGTCCTCGGTGGACACACACATGCCCTGCGGAAAGAGCGTGACTCGGCTGCCGCCCAGAGCCACAGCTCCGGCCACACAAGCTCGGACGCCAGACACGGACAGCCCGGGCCGGCCTGGCCCTGCCTCTGTCCTCAGGCTCACGCCGTCTCTCCTGCCTTTCCCAGAGGTGGGGGGCGGACAGGAGAGCAAACATAGGCAAGAACTGAAACAGCCCGTGTGTGCCTGTGTGTGTGTGTGAGAGAGAGAGACGTACTGTGGCATGCGCGCACACACACACACACACAACACGGTCCTCCACGTCTTCCTTGCCCACATAGGCAAACAGAGGCTGGGTTGCACAGGCAGCGGTGGCAGCCGGGGCCTGGGGGAAGCAGGCGTGGGTCTCAGGAGAGCTGCTCCTGGGCCTGCTGTTTACGCTGCCAACAGAAGTCTGTCCCCGAGTAGTGCACAGTACTGTGTCTGTGCGTTTCACCTCCTCTGTGACCCCCGCGCAGGGGGCTGGCCCCGGGAGTGGGCTGCGTCACGGAGTTCTTTCTTCCAGCCATCCTGTGGCGGCCCAGGTCCCTGCTCCTGTTTGATCGCTGCACACAGGCTCTAGCAATCATCGTTAGCCACAGGAAAGACTCAGACCTGGGCTCCCGGCCAGCTTAGTAAAACTTTCCATGAGGAAAGCTTTTTGTTCTCTCCCAGAGCAACTTAAGCTCAGGAAAGAAGGGGCGGGTGAACGGGGAGAGCTAGCACAGCCGGCAGACAGGACCAGACCGCCTTGTCTACCTGCTTGTGGTTTTAATGACATGGAGACCTCGGGACACCCAAGAGCCTGTGGCGGAGCTGAAAGGCCCATTGTGGCGGCTGCTGGGTGGAGGTGGGGGAGGGGAGGCCGGCAGGAGGAGGGGCCTCCAGCCCTGACTCTGCCGCAGCCCCTCATACCAAGGCGTGCAGGCCTCCGTCTGTGACTCTGGCTGGTGCCCTGTGGTGCGCGGAATCATCTCCATGTGCCTCAGGACTTTGGGAGTTTCCAGATGTGTGAAATGAGAACGTGGATGTGCGAGGGAGACAGCACATTACGTGTGCCACCGAAAGAGTCCCCTGGGACCAGCGCGCCATCACGTGACTCCACTCTGCTACCGGTAGCTCAGGGAAGGAGCCGTGGGGAGCTCCGAGACACATACGCAAATGAAACAGAGCAGCTCTACATTTAACTAACGTGAAGTCCAGGACACTGACACCCTCAAAGTGTGGCCCTGTGGTTCAGCCCTTCTTGAGAAATCTAAGGGGAAAGCTTACGTCTTATGAAGACATTTGGAACAAAGAAGTTATCACTGAAATTTATTTATGGGCCAAGTATTCTCACAGCAAAACTTTAGAGTAGAAACAAAAACTTTTGGAGTCCTAAAAATGGCAATGCATCTCTCATGATACGTCGATGTTAACTGCCCTGCCGGCTCTAGCGCGCCACTCTGCAGACTGAGCACAAGGTGAGCACTGTCCCTGTATGAGCGACCTCTTGTTTGTGTGTGTGAACTCAGGGCCCTGTGCTCACCCAGCTTTCCAAAGCTCACAGCTGGTGTTCTACTACTTGAGCCACACCTCCAGCCCAGAATTCTGCCTGTTAATTGGAAATGGAGTCTCACAGACTTTTTGGCGTGGGCTGGTTTTACACAACAATCCCTCGTGAGTAGCCAGGATAACAAGCACGAGCCAGCGCTCTTGTTCTGAGAGCTGGTGCTCCCAGCACACACCCTGGCTCTCTGGAACCGGACTCCATCTCTCGTTACCGTACACTCACGCACACCAGAGTGCTACAAAGCAAAATCAGAACCCAGCAAAACAAATAAAAACCAGTACACATGTGGAGTAGATTCTTCCTGCCTCCTCTTAGCTCGAGAGGAGGCTGGTGGAACAGCCCTGCCCTGCTGGCGTGAGGAGGGGCCGGCAGGCGGACTCAAGGAGGGAGCCGAGGCAGGCCCAAGGACCCGGGGAAGCACGCGCGAGGAGGAGGGGCTGGCCACACGAGTCCTGTCCGCTCATTGTCCACGCTACATCGCCAAAGGCTCTCTAGGTCACGGCCACAGCCCTCTGTCCCTGCCTCCTGGTGACCCTTCAGCCAGGACGGCCACATGCTCCATACCAGCACACAGGAGATTCTAGAAGAAAGCCCCTGGGGGTCCCAGAGCCTGTGCTCCCGAGCCAGCCTGGTGAGACCCCGGCTCTGCCAGCACGCTCACACATAGAGTGAGCTCCTGCACACGCAGCATCTCCCATGGCCCCTGACGCCACTAGAAACAGAGTTTACCCCTCTGACTCAAAGCTGTGTCTCCACTTGCCTCCATACACTTTTCCTTGGAAGGCAACCAAGTCCAACTGAGTCTGAGGGGAAAGACACCATGGCCCGGATGGGCGCCTGCCCCCACCCGGCCTTCGGAGAGCTCCTGGCAGCCGCTTTCTAATCTTGCAGCTCATGGCATGAAGCGTCATGACGACACAAAATGCTATGGGTGGCCTCAGGCTCTGATGCAGACCCAGGAGACAGTGCTCTGACACAGCAATCCCACGTACGCAGGGCAAGCACCAGGCTCCATCGACGCTGCCCACCGCTTCCTGGAAGCGTGGCCCTGCCCCAGACACGCACCACCCTGTGTCACACGCTCACAACAAAGTCACATCTGACGCTGACGTGGCGACCCGGGGCAGCGGGAAGCCTGGCTGAGGCCAGCTTCCTGTCTCCGGGCCAGAGGGTACTGCCCAGATGTGGGGACCGGGGCTGGTCGGTCACACCGTCTTGACAGATGACAACATTCCCACAGCACCACACGGCACTTCCCAGGGCAAAGAAGTCAGAATTTTGGCACAAGCACCAGTGTTCTCCCTGGGCAGGGCGTCCAGGTGGCACCCTCTGGGAGTGCGGCATGTCTGCACACGGAGGAGGAGGCAGCGTCCGTGATCACAGAGCATCTCTGTGGTCCTGACCATCTTGGGGGGCCTACGGAGTGGATCTGGAGTGGACGCCACGCAGAGCCCCTTCCAACACCACAACGAAGACACAGGCACACCGGCAAGCACGCCACAGAACAGGGACCAGGTTTGTGGGTTAATAATTTCTGAGCAAAAATTTGTGTGCATCCTCCTCAAACACTAAGTTGGGATTTGCAAGCAAGTGTTCATCAAGAACCTTTGAAACTGAAACACCAGAGCGTCGTCCCCTGGAACACCTAAGTGCTAGACTGTCTCCAGGGAGCTGTTAAAAGAGGCTCCGTTATTCCCTGGCCAGACCAACCCACGGAGGAGAACAAGGTGCAGAGTCCAGACCTCAGTGAGCACCGAGCCACGTCCACAGGCTCTTCCCACGGGCCTCCTTGCAGGGCCACCGGAAGCTCGAGTGTGTGGATGTGAGGGGGAGAACTTTGGCTAAGGGCGGCTGCAGGGAGGCCGGTGATTGGCTAAGGGCAGCCAGGGAGGCCGGTGATTGGCTAAGGGCAGCCAGGGAGGGAGCTGATTGGCTAAGGGCAGCTACAGGCCTTGATCTTAGTGGGCAGGCCCCGCACCCCCAAGTGCAGCCCTGGGCCCAGCTGGGTCTAGGCCCAGCTAGAGGAGGAGTGAGCACCTGCTCCCGACCTGTCCTGGAAAACGCCCCACACCTGACTGCCATACCCACGGCCCCAGTGGACCTGGAACCCGCTGCGCCAGCAGACCAGAGGGCTGTGGCCTGGCCGGGCCGCGAGGTGGCTCTTCGCCAGAGTAGCATGGTGCCCAAGAACACATCGACACAGACTCACACAACAGCCGAGGGGTGGTGTTGCCACCTCAGTCTGCCGCCAGACACACCACGGTCAGTTGTGTCCTACACGCTTCCCCGGGAGGCGGCGGAGGCCTGGCCGGAGCCACAGTGTCCAGGGCCCGTGAGCTGTCAGGAACGCATTGACAGTTTGACACAGCCACCGGACTACAACGTCCACACCTCTAGCCGGGACACAATGTACACAAGGGTGCCCCTTAGTCCATGCGCTGTGATGGCCAGGCTGCCCTGTGACCCCAGGGGGGCCTCCTCTGAGCTCCAGCTGCCCCATGACCCCAGGGGGGCCTCCTCTGAGCTCCAGCTGCCCCGTGACCCCAAGGGGGCCTCCTCTGAGCTCCAGCTGCCCCGTGACCCCAGGGGGGCCTCCTCTGAGCTCCAGCTGAGCGGTGACTCACTCAGCTTTCACCAGCACACCCGAGGGTCCTGAGTGTCGGCCCGTGCCGCACAGGCAGGTCACCGAGACCGACGCTGTCCAGAGGCGGTGTGGACAGCCTGGCGCAGTGCCGCCACCATCAGCCCAGCAGTGCCCTCGGAGGGCCAGTCACCGCACACAGCCCTCCTTCCTTCTGGAGCGCGTGGGTAGAGGGGACACCTGCACGGACACTTACCATCGTCCAGGTACAACTGGTCCAACTCCTCAGGCTCTTGCTTGATTGTTACAGGAATAGGGGCCAAATTATCACTACCATCCTCACGCGCCTCGGGCAGCGGCGCCGGCCCGGCAGCTGGAGACACGTTTCTTTGAACCTTCGGCAGCTGGCGCTGCTGCTGGCCCAGGACGGGAGGCTGGGCGGAGGGCGGCGAGCAGGCTGGTTCGTGGGCGGCGGCCGGCGGTGGAGAAGAGGGGCTGTTGGGACAGAGCGCCTGCTGGCAACCAAGGGAGCAGCTACTGCTCAGATGTGGACTCACCTGGGGCTGCAGCAGGGCGGGCGGGGGCTGCTCCGCAGAGCCCGGCTGCATGGCCGGGGCATCCGCTGCGGGAGGCTGAAGTCCCAGGTGACCGAGGCTCGGGCCAGAGACGCCCTTGGTGTAGGCCGTGGAAGAGAGGTCCTGGAGCTTTGGGCTTGTGCTGGGAGGTGCTGGCATCATGGGGCTCCTCTGTGGACAGGGGGCAAAGCCGGCCACGAGGCAGGAGACTGGGTCGGGCGGCACGGCGAGCTGCTGGCTGTAGCAGGGCCTGGGGAGGGGACTCAGGCCCTGGCTCATGGGCCCACATGTCAGGGAGGACTCGAAGTCATCAGTGGGTTCCATCTTTATCATTGGAACTGTGAGGAGGGAAGAGAAAGTTAAGTAAACACGCGGTGTGGATGGTGCGCTGGGAGGCTGTGGCTAGGATACCCGGGCAAAACAAACACCGGCTTGACTGAGCCCTGTGTCTCCGCCGCTTCTCCCACCCAATTAAACACCCGGTGAGTCACAGGCCGGGAAAGTCGCAGCTGGTTCTGATTTGGAGAGGACTATTTTCCTTGGAATCTCCCCAGCACTAACGTGCTATAAAAATCCATTTGCAAACTGCAGTAGGAGCTTTGGGCCCAGGGGCCTGAGGATTTGTAGTAATCAAAGTGAAAACTTCAGCTGGGAGCGGAGGAACTGCACCCTGCTGCTACTGATAAGTTCTGCTTGTGGGCAAACAGAGCCGGGAAGGCTGCAAGGCCTGGAAATCCAGCTGTCCGCTGCAGGAGGGGCGCGGTGGTCGGCCAAGGAGGACCTGTGAGGCGGGCAGAGAGCTACCTGTCCCTCCTCCCCTCCCGAGTCCCACTGGTGACCAGAGGCTCTCCAGACGCCGCCAGGCAGGCCAGGCCGCGCCACCCCACTGAGAAGGTGTGGCTGCTGGGGCTGGCCCCAGCTCCTGCCCGGCAGTGCCCATGTTGGTGCAGGCAGGGGAGGGAGCGCCGGCAGGCCCCCGAGCTCACCTCCTGCTGGGGCCTCCACAGCCGTTCACAAGAGCCACAGGGACGGCCCGGGGACGGCCCGGGGACACGCAGGCATGCTGCACCCCCACCGGCACCGACTGGCGCCCTTTGGTCGTGCCAGCTCCGCGGTGGCGTGGGTCGAGCGCCGCTGCGGCCGCTCTGCCGTGCCTTGCATGCCACGCACAGGTGCTTAGCTGTGCTCCGCACGGGCTCCTCTACCACTGCGGCCACCTCACAAGCTCCAGGGAGAAACGCGCCTGTCACAGAGGAGGCCCGGCCCAGCTAAAGGACTAAAAGCATATCCACAGTTTGAGAGAAACTTTCGCCATGGTCTGAGCCGGCAGGAATGCACGTCTGGTCTTCATTAGGCTGGGTGTCTGCACCGCCAGGGAGCCCCCCAGCCCGGCTGGGGGGGGACCCCTCGCTGGCAGCCTCCTCCAGGGCCCCTCCCTGCAGGCACAGCCTGCAGCCTGCCGTCAGCCACGGCAGACTCCTGGCCGGTGCTGGGGTCCTCTCCCTAGTTGATGATGCCCCTCACTGCAGAGCCTGGGCCCAGGAAGGACGGAGAGCAGCAGAGAGGGCAGAGTTCCACATCCCTGCTTCATCCTGGAGCTACGCTCGGCTGAAGGGCTTTGAGGTCCTTTCCCCCGCTCTTCTTTGCCTTCCTCTCCTCTCCTCTCTGTTCTCCTCTGCATTAGGCATCCCCAGCACCATCCTGCTATGCTCACTGGAGATAGAGGCCAGGACGGAGGCCCCAGGACGGCAGAGGAGAGGCTGGCTTCTTCATCCGGCGCCTGGGGAATGCTGGATTTGTTTCACTGGTGGCACCACGTTCCCCGCCTGCCTGCACCCTGTCCCCAGCGAGACCCTTTTCTTCTGAAGGCTGCCACTCGTGGTCACGTGCGGAAGCCGGAGCAGGTCCGTGTGCAGCCAGCATTCTGGTGAGGAGGGCTGCAGAGGCGGGACATGCCCTCCAGCGGGGAGCCAGCCGCACGCATTCTAAAGGAGAGGCCTTCCCTGCCTTCCCCAGGGAGGCCTGCTGCTCGGTCGTCTCCTGGTGCAGCAACGTGGAATCCTGGGCTTCTGGGCTGAGTGCCCAGCCACCCTGATGTCCGGGGAGCTGCCTCCTCCCCCGGGGCAGTGGCCAGGCCCACCTCAGATGCGCCCAGCTCTAGGATGCTCGGGGGCAGGTGCTTGGCAGTCACAGACCAGCCGTTTTCCTGGGGCCGTCGCCTCTCCAGCAGCAACCTCGGCCTGGCGGTGGCCCCCAGGGGCCCCTGGAGCTGCCGGGGCTAGGGGGCCACGCGAACCGTGTGAACCCTGCGCGTGGGCTTCGGGGACCTGTCTTGTCAAGCCTGTCGTCCCCACCAGGCCTAGAGGGTGACAGACTCCTCCTGTGTCCGTCCAGGGCCACCGTGTGTGAGGGGCGGTCAGGGCACTGCCCGAGGAGATGAACATCTGTGTCTTTAACTTGAAGCAGTGTGACAGTAGCAAGTCAGGGCTCCGAAGCCAACCGGAGGCCCACAAACCTGCCCGAGGCCCCTGCGTCCCGGCAGCCGCGCCAAGCCCCTGAGCCTGCGCCATCTGCACCACGGTGCTGGATGAGCAACTGTCGTCCGGCCACCAGCACCAGTCTCTGCAGACAGCGCCGAGCACGGCGTCCCTCCGGGAGCTGTCTAGTCCACCCGCTCGGCGCGGGGATGAGAACTCACCTCAGGAGCTACCCTTGTCCAGCATCAGTGCAGATGCCTCACGTGCCATAAATCCAGAGCTGGCCGTGGCTGGGCCCCAGACAGACCTGAGTGTGGCTGGCAGGAGAGGACGGCCCCGGCCTTCAGGGGCGGAGCTGTCTCTGAGGACAGCCCCGGGTGGGAGCCGGTGGGCCCGGTCTCCGGCTCAAGGCGCCCTGTGCGAAGGTTACACTCTAACTGGCGTGGGTGAGTCTCTGCTCGTGTTCACAAGGCGTTGTGGCTAGAAGGCGGATTGGGCTATGTGCCCCTCTCACGGCGCTCACAGCCGGGGCCGGGCCTGCACACACCACCCCGAGCTCTGTGAAACTCCTCGCCCTGACAGTCCAGCAGGGTGAAAAAGGCACAGCCCCAGACACCGCTGTCCACCGAATGCCGACGGCCCAGTTTATCCACACACAGGGTCAGTGACAGCAAACCTGGGCCGGACCTGGGCCGGAGGCCGTGGTGCCCGGCAAGCAGCCTGCCACGGGGAGCCCTGTCAGCTCTGCTGTCTGGGACCTGTTCTAAATGCCTGTGGCCCTGTGGACTCCTGCATCTCCCTGACTGCCCTGGGCCCTTCCTAGAAGACTGGGGTAGGGGGGCAGGAGTGAGCCTAGGGGGAGCGCGAGAGCGTAAGTCCCAGACTTCCAGCTCTGGGGGTGCAGACTGCCCCAGGAGGAGGTGTCAGGCCGGGAGAGGGCCCATGGGGGCCTTGGGGCCTCCTTGCCCCCAGCTCCACTCTGGATCTAGAGTGCCACCGTTACCAGAGCCTCTGCCCTCCCTGCTGCTCTGGACAAAGGTTTGGAACTAGCCATAGAAAGCACCCCCAGTGTCAGCCTTCCTGTGTCCTGGCCCCCGGGCTTGGAGAGCCTAGCCCCTCTCAGGGGTGAAGTATACACCGAGCACAAAGAGATGCTGTGTGTGTCTCCTGTTGTGCTGCCCCTGAGACTCAGCTTCCACACCGGTCATGATGCCTTTGTCTGGCTTCAGTGCAGTGTCTAGCTGGAGGTAGCTGTGTGAGAGGTCCTGACACGGAGACCCTCAGAGCCCTGCGCCCCGCACTGCTCTGTGAGAAACCCTGACACGGAGACCCCAGAGCCCTGCGCCCACACTGCTCTGTGAGAAACCCTGACACGGAGACCCCAGAGCCCTGCACCCACACTGCTCTGTGAGAGACGCTGACACGGAGACCCCAGAGCCCTGCACCCACACTGCTCTGTGAGAAACCCTGACACGGAGACCCCAGAGCCCTGCGCCCACACTGCTCTGTGAGAGACCCCGACACGGAGACCCCAGAGCCCTGCGCCCACACTGCTCTGTGAGAAACCCTGACACGGAGACCCCAGAGCCCTGCACCCACACTGCTCTGTGAGAGACCCTAACACGGAGACCCCAGAGCCCTGCGCCCACACTGCTCTGTGAGAGACCCTGACACGGAGACCCCAGAGCCCTGCGCCCACACTGCTCTGTGAGAAACACTGACACGGAGACCCCAGAGCCCTGCACCCACACTGCTCTGTGAGAGACCCTAACACGGAGACCCCAGAGCCCTGCGCCCACACTGCTCTGTGAGAGACCCTGACACGGAGACCCCAGAGCCCTGCACCCACACTGCTCTGTGAGAGACCCTAACACGGAGACCCCAGAGCCCTGCACCCACACTGCTCTGTGAGAGACGCCGACACGGAGACCCCCAGAGCCCTGCGCCCACACTGCTCTGTGAGAGACCCCAACACGGAGACCCCAGAGCCCTGCACCCACACTGCTCTGTGAGAGACGCTGACACGGAGACCCCAGAGCCCTGCGCCCACACTGCTCTGTGAGAAACCCCAACACGGAGACCCCAGAGCCCTGCGCCCACACTGCTCTGTGAGAAACCCCAACACGGAGACCCCAGAGCCCTGCGCCCACACTGCTCTGTGAGAGACGCTGACACGGAGAACCCAGAGCCCTGCGCCCACACTGCTCTGTGAGAGACCCCAACACGGACACCCCAGAGCCCTGCGCCCACACTGCTCTGTGAGAGACCCCAACACGGAGACCCCCAGAGCCCTGCACCCCACACTGCTCTGTGAGAGACCCTGCACGGAGACCCCAGAGCCCTGCACCCACACTGCTCTGTGAGAGACCCCAACACGGAGACCCCAGAGCCCTGCGCCCACACTGCTCTGTGAGAGACCCCAACACGGAGACCCCCAGAGCCCTGCGCCCACACTGCTCTGTGAGAGACCCTGACACGGAGACCCCAGAGCCCTGCACCCACACTGCTCTGTGAGAGACCCTAACACGGAGACCCCAGAGCCCTGCACCCACACTGCTCTGTGAGAGACGCCGACACGGAGACCCCCAGAGCCCTGCGCCCACACTGCTCTGTGAGAGACGCTGACACGGAGACCCCAGAGCCCTGCGCCCACACTGCTCTGTGAGAAACCCCAACACGGAGACCCCAGAGCCCTGCGCCCACACTGCTCTGTGAGAAACCCCGACACGGAGACCCCAGAGCCCTGCGCCCACACTGCTCTGTGAGAAACCCCGACACGGAGACCCCAGAGCCCTGCGCCCACACTGCTCTGTGAGAAACCCCAACACGGAGACCCCAGAGCCCTGCGCCCACACTGCTCT